TGTAAAAGAGGGTTCTGCCACGAGTTAGGAACCACAAGAAGCTCTAACTTGGGTTTAATAGACTTAACCTCGTAGCCTTAGCCAAGGTTTGACTCCCATGGGCCTTGGTTGTAGAGATGTCTTTCTAAAGTTGATGTTTACTCAAAGTGAAATGACGAGGATAGCAGATAGGGTTTTTGTTGGGTGCAGCTGCATTTTTGAGCAGTGTCTGGCCACCTAGAGAACTGTGTTGAAAATTCTAGGCTGACTTTTGAGGTAAGAGGAAAGCTGCTATGACTGGTTGTTAAATTTTATCCTAAGCATAAGAGGGCAAGATGTGGGAGTCCTGTTTTAATCTCTAGTAAGTGGCTTATTTTTAGAAGTGCTCAAGGAATCCTACTGGGATGCTTATTGTGGAATAATACCTTTAGGTTTTACTACATGACTTAGGCTTTTCTTTTGTTTTGGTTTTTGTATTTTGGTTTTGGTACTGAGGTCATATCTTTCTCTTTCGATTGTCAGAGCACATTCGTAGCTTTATGGATATCACAGATAATAATCTGTAGATTGGAGACCATTTCTATAATGTGTAGTTTTTAGGTATTGAGAAAGATATTTTTGTTTGGAGAGAAGTGGAATTAGTAAAAACCAGTTTGATTCTCTTTTTGTGTGTGAGAAATATACATAGATGTACTGTGTACCTGAAACTGACATGGTTATCCACTGCCATTTTTTGTTGTTGTTAACTTTAGTTGTTTTTTTTTTTTTTTTTTTGGACAGACAAAGATCACAAGTAGGCTGAGAGGCAGGCAGAGAGACAGGGGAGGAAGCAGGCTCCCCGCTGAGCAGAGAGCCCAATGCAGGGCTCAATCCCAGGACCCTGGGATCATGACCTGAGCCAAAGGCAGAGGCTTTAACCCACTGAGCCACTCAAGGGCCCCTATCCACTACAATTTTTAAAAATTTTAATTTCAGTGTAGTTAATATATGGTGTTCTGTTAACTACAATTAAAAAATAATAAAATACTTTTTCTCCAAGAAAAAATAAGCATACATAACATAGAATTACCATCTTAACCACTTTTATTGTACGATCAGTGGCATAAAGGATGATTCAGCTACCAGTAGGTGGTAGATGAGAAAGAATTAGTGGCAAATATAGAGGAAGTGTGCATGACCCCGGCTATCAACTGAGTCCTCTGTGCTTTAGCCAAGACTAGGATCCTGTGGGCCTTCCATCTTGTAAAAGAACGTGGTATAATAAGTAGTATACTCTAATTCTTAAGTATAGATTTCTGGTGGAAACAGTGGAGATAGGGAGTGAAGCAAAGGCTTGAAGTCAGAAGAGCTGCCTCTGCCTTTGAATTTGCCACAGCTTCACAGTGTGTCCTCTGACACGTCACTCAGCTGTTGTGAGAGTTGTTTTTTCATCAGTAGAGGCCTGCCTCACTATGTTTTTGTGACCATCTAGTGGAATATCATCAACGTAAACTTTATTTTATCTTAAAGATTTTATTTATCTATTTGAGAGAGCGAGTGTGTAAGCTGAGGGGTGAGAGCGTGTAAGCAGAGAGAAGCAGGGAGGGGAAGGGGGAAAGACTCTACAGCAGACTCCATGCAGAGCATGGAGCCTGACCCAGGGCCCGATTTCACGACCCTGAGATCACAACCTGAGCCAAAACCGAGAGTGCTTAATGACTGAGTCATCCAGGTGCCCTTAAGCTTTATTTTAACACACAGAGTGTTTTATTAGTTTCAGATATACAGTAAGAGTGATTCAGCAATTCATGCATCACCCTGTGCTTATCACAAGGGCCCTCCTTAATCCCCTTCACCTATTTCACCTGTCCTCCCACCCACCTCCCTTCCAGTAACCCTCAGTCCTCTGTAATTAAGAGTCTCTTTCTTGATTTATCTCTTTTTCCCCTTTCCTTGTTTGTTTTGTTTCTTTAATTCCACGAGCAAAATTGTATGGTATTGTCTTTCTCTGACTTATTTTGCTTGACATTATACTCGCTAGCTTCATCCGTGTCATTGCAAATGGTATGGTTCCATTCTTTTTTATGCTGAATAATACTCCTGTGTGTGTGTGTGCATGTGTGTGCGTGTGTACCACATCTTCTTTATGCATTCCATTCATCAATCGATGGACACTTGGGCTGCTTCCATAATTTGACTGTTGAAAATAATGCTGCTATAAACACTGGGATACATGTATCCCTTTAAATTAGTGTTTTCATATTTTTTGGGTAAATACTCAGTACTGTGATTGTTGTATTGTAGGGTAGTTCTATTTTTAACTTCCTTTTTTTTTTTTTAAGATTTAATTTATTTATTTGACAGACAGTGATCACAAGTAGGCAGAGAGGCAGGCAGAGAGAGGGGGGAAGCAGGCTCCCTGCTGAGCAGAGAGCCTGATTCGGGGCTCGATCCCAGGACCCTGGGATCATGACCTGAGCCAAAGGCAGAGGCTTTAACCCACTGAGCCACCCAGGTGCCTCTATTTTTAAGTTTTTGAGGAACCTCCATACTGTTTTCCAGAGTGGCTACACTCATCCATGTAAACTTTAAAGCGTTATCTCACTGTGTGATCTTGGCAGTATTATTACTGTAAAAAGGCATAAACAATCTAATGAGGATTGAATGAGGTAATGTGGTGGGATAATACTTGTATAGTATTATGTACTCTGCAAATGTGTATGTGTGTGTGCTTTCTAGTCACAAAGTCTGAATAATTGAGACTTGATAGCTCTTAAGAGGGTCTCTAGTTGGAGGGCCTAAGAAATACTGTGAACTCTAAAATAAAAATTGGCTTATTCTGAATAGCCAAATATAGAAATAGAAAAATCTCTCTAAAGTTAGCCAAATAAACTCCTGAACCTAAAGAGTGTGTGTGTGTGTGTGTGTGTGTGTGTGTGTATGTGTGTGTGTACTCCTTAGAACTTAAAACCAGAAACACAAATATGCTGTGGCATTAGAACATTGTGCCAAGTCTCAGCCCAGAGCAGCTATTTACAGCAGCCATAAATCCTCTTAGATAGGAGTTGGTAATGGGAAACGTGACCAATCCCTTTAACAGTAGAGAGCAGTGAGGAGGACTACCAGGCACTTGCTATAATAATTGGAGACAATTCAAATGAATAAATAATGAGCTAAATAAATATTTAAATGTACTCCAAGATAAAAACCTGAAAAGTGATTTTCTAATTTGTTGAAGTAGTGTGAAACACAAACTAAGACTTGCGTATGGGGTAGAATTCTTGGCTTTGGTTACATCCACTTGCTTGCTTCTTGGCATAGGGTACTGTGCGTGTGGGTGATTTGAGAACTTGCTCTGTCTGTGGCACCCGTTGGCACTGGGGACGTGATGTGGCCAGTGAAGGTTGACTTTCAGTTCTTCCGAGGAAAAACATTTATCAGCTGCTAAACTTGTTGTCCCCAGATCCCTTTCATCTGTCAGAAAGTCTTGGGAGACGATCCTGACTTTTCCACTAGGACCAGCTCCCTGAAGCACATATGGGTCTCTTTACTCGGCGGTGATACCTCTGTAAATAATTCAGAGGCAGAGAGATGGTGTCTGGCCTGACGGCTAAGTGCTTGGATTTGTGGGCCCGAGAGTGGCTCCCAGGGATCATTGACTTTGGGCTCAGGTCGCTGCCTCTGAGATGCTTGCAAAACCCACAATGCCTTATTCTCTGAGAAGGACAGATTCTGTGCACAGGTTTCTCCCGGGAATGTCGGCCCCACCAGTGATCTGGATATTAGCACGGCACCTGTCAGAAATTGATGCCAGCCCTTTACAACTAATAATGCACTGAACACTCCCAGGAAGGTAGGAGTCAGGTGGGAAAAGACTGGTTCATGCCTGGATTATGTTCATGCCTCAGCTTTTGGGGAGTTGCAGGCAGATCAGTTTTTAGTGGTGTTGAGTCAGAACTGAGAGAGCTTCTGGAGCTTAAGTCACATAGATAAAAAATTAGAATAGGTTTATCTTTCTAAATCATCTTTGGTGCAAAAATACTATTACTGTGCACTAAAACATGAAACTTAGATAATTTCACGGTGATAAGCACTAAGCATTAGGAGTAGTTATCATCTTGTTCTTTTAAGCATTTGGAGCACACGTCTAACAGTTTGAAAACTGACACACCTCCGATAGTTGACCTATAGTTGACGGCTGTGCGAGCAGAACATGTAAGAATAGAATGGATTTACATATATTTATTTTCGATGGATACTTTTTCTAGGATGGTCGGAAGCATCAGAGACGGAGAAAAACCACGAGAGACTCTCAACTCTAGGAAACAAACTGAGGGATGCTGGAGGGGAGGTGGGTAGGGGGATGGGATAGCTAGGTGCCTGGCATTAAGGAGGGCACGTGATGTGATGAGCACTGGGTGTTACACGTGACTGATGAATTATTGAACACTATATCTGAAACCAATGATGTGCTCTATGTTGGCTAATTGAATGTAAATTAAAAATAAAGTTTATGGCATATGAAAGAAAATTGTGAAAAATGATGCTCAATTTTGACAGTTAAGTATCCTAGATTTTGTTACCTACACATTGTAAATTGAGTGGTTTTTAATTACAGCCTTAAAATTAGTGTTGATATCTATAGTGATATTTTTATAAAATGAAAAAGTAAAAGGAGATGGTCTTAGGAAGGCTAATAATGATATTTAGTGTGTTTAAGGAGAGATGTGTAGAAGTAGATGAGAGAATTCAAGAATTGGAGGGTAGAAAAGAGAAATCATGGAGGTGTGAGAAATTAGATCACTTGTAATCTGCACACATCTTAAACTTTCTTCACTAAATTCAGTAAAGGTTTAGCCTAAATTTTTATACATTTGATTTCTAGTGTTTTTAGTTACTACTAAAATAATGTGGTTATGTTTGGACCCTTTGTTTGTGGGGAAAATAAAACCTGTTTTTATTTGGGTAGATCCATGTGAGCATGGGACTTTGTTTTTTTTCTCCAGGGCTGCTCAATTCTGACTTCTCCCTTGTCTTTCTAGGTCAATGGTGTGCAACTGTATGGGAAGTCTCGCCGAGAAGCAGTGTCTTTTCTCAAAGAGGTGCCTCCTCCCTTTACCTTGGTTTGCTGTCGACGACTGTTTGATGATGAAGCTTCTGTGGATGAACCAAGGACCACTGAAGCCCCTCTTCCCAAGATGGAGGTACTAACGGAATATTCTATGGTTCCCACAGGAATGAGATTCATCAGGAATGCCCTGATGAGTGTGTTTGGATATGAAAGGAGGGGAGAATTTTCCGTCTTTTGACTAGAATAGCACTCAAAGGCAATAATACATAGCTTTACAAACCGTTACTTTTCATTTCACATCATAAAACTTTCATTCTTCTTCTACTTGAAATGTTGGTGACATTAATCTGCATGCATTATTATTTTAGAAAACCTTTTTTTAGTAATTTCCTGGGCTCATTACTTTAGGCTCCCAGTTCAACTCAGTTCACCTTAAGTTTAAGATGTTGGTGAGTGTTGAATATCTAATGGACTTCCCTTTTTCAGAACCTTAGAAATATGAAGATCTATGACCAATTTCGAAGTGAGTAAAAATTGCTGTAAAAGCCTTCAGAAGGTCAGAGAATAAAATAACATTTTCTGTGCTCTTGGTACACTTTTTTTTTTTTTTTTTTTTAAAGAATATTGTGATTATGTAAACAGTTTTAAGCATGTGCTTTGCCATCTTATGTCAATTGAACCTCATCTTTTATGCCACTTCCTTGCCCTACCCCACCCCCCCTTTCCAGACCCTTACGGATTATAATTCCTTAATACCAGTTAAGTTTATTTATTTTTTTTTTAATTTTATTTATTTAACAGAGTACAAGCAGGGGAAGCAGCAGAGGGAAAAGGGAGAAGCAGACTCCCCGCTGAGCAAGGATCCCGATCTGGGGCTCAATCCCAGGACCCTGGGATCATGACCTGAGCTGAAGGCAGACCCTTAACTAACTGAGCCACCCAGGCGCCCCATTAACACTAGTTTAGATGCACAGTCTTCTGTTTCCTTGCCTGTAGTCTGAGTTTCAAGATAATCGTGCCTCTACCACTTAATGATTGTGAATCTTTGAGCAAATGAGCAAATAACTTGACTTTCTGTTCATATTCTTTTTTTTTTTTTTTTAAGATTTTATTTATTTATTTGACACAGAGAGAGAGATCACAAGTAGGCAGGGAGGCAGGCACAGAGAGAGGGGGAAGAAGGCTCCCCGCTGAGCAGGGAGCCCAATGCAGGGCTCGATCCCAGAACCCTGAGATCATGACCTGAGCCGAAGGCAGAGGCTTAACCCAATGAGCCACCCAGGCTCCATATTCTTTCTTTGAAAATTGGGGATACTTATAGTCCTTCCTGCCCTCCTCAGTTTGTACGAGAAGGAAATGAAGTAATACGTGCCCAGCTGTTAGTGCAGTGCCTTGCCGATGAGAAGTGCTCAGGAGAGGTCTCCTATAGCTCTTGACTCTTCCAGTCCAGCTGTCTTTGTTTCCTAATCTCCTGAAGTATATAAGACCCTGTCTCAGGGTCACAGATACTTTCATGTGTATTAAGCTTGCTTTTGCAAGAAAACTCACCCCTGTGAGCAGAGTCATATCTTAAAATTATTTTGTCTCTCACAGTGTTTTTATTCTATACTGGGTGTATAGGAATTGTTTAGTCCTTTATTGATTGAGAATCTTTTTTTTTTCCTTAATGTTTATCTTCAGTAAAACATATTTCAAGGAAGGATCTTGAATATCACTTTTGTGATTCTTAGTACCTTTACTAAAATTCAGTGTGGATGAGGGCTTACCTCTAAAGATTAATAAAAATACCTTTAATCTAATCTTACAGGGTGTGTAAATCACCCAGCTTGCTGACTCAATGCTCCCATCAGTCATCCTTTACCACAATGGGTAAACAACAGCTTTGAATTATTCTAAATGTCAACCTTGCTGCCCATTAGTTGATTGCTTTCCATTTTGTAAATACAGGAGTTATGCACAATTGATTGTATCAAAGTGATATATTTTAGGTTGGAGTATAATATATATATACCTTGGATGCCTTGAAATTTCTATAAACTTTGGTTTTATAAGTATGTGCAGTTTCTCAAAATCCTGGCTTTCTTTTCTTTTCTTTCTTTTTTTTCCCCATTTATCCCCGTTTCATCTTAGGTTCTTAAACCTTATCTGGTTAGGCAGCTCAGCCAGAATTCTAATGCTCATTACTCAGTGAGGGTATTAAATGCCCCAGTAAAACATCAATCATATTGTATTAGCTATAGGAACTTTACTTTTTATTGGAAGGTATAATGTTTTCTTTATGAATACCATGTCCTCACATCAGGCTGATATATACAAAGGTTATTGATCCAGAACATCCCACTAATTTCAAGTTTTGTAATTCAAGAACCCAGAAATTGTTACTATGTTTAGACTCAATCCACCATGGATTGAGTATTGACTTTCCATGTCCTGTGGGGACAGTTTTGAGATCTGGACCAACCCTAATTTTAAAAATGTTTTTGTACTTGCTATGGTGCTTTACTCTTCCATATTAGAAGGGTCCCTCCTTTTGATTTCATTAAATGGATTTTCTTATGCAAGTCACTCAAAATTAAGTTCCTAGGAATGATGCACTTTGATTTTATTTACTGAGAGCACCCAGACTTTTAAGAAGGCTACTTGTAAAAATTATTATTTAGCCTGTAATTTTATTTTAAAAGTTCTAAGCGGTGCGCCTGCGTGGCTCAGTTGGGTAAACATCTGCCTTTGGCTCAGGTCATGATCTCAGGGTCCTGGGATCGGGTCCCATGTTCGGCTCCCTGCTTGGTGGTCTGTCTGCTTCTCCCTCTGCCTCTGCCCCTCCCCCTGCTTGTGTTCTCTCTCTCGTTCCTGCTCTCTCTCAAACAAATAAGATCTTTAAAGAAAAAAAATTCCCAAGGGATATGCAGTCAAAGATGGATGATTTGTTAATGTTTTGGACAAATATGTATCAAGCGCCGACTCTGAGCCAGGATCTATTGTGGGCTGAGTGGATAGCTATTGGTAAACCCCATTGTAGCCCACACAGGGTTTCCATTCTATCCTGTCATTTTGTTAGTTGCTAGGGCTGCAAAGAAAACGAAGATAACCTTTGTGCTTCAGACAGAAGTTCACGGTATTTTGAGGACAATTAATCATATGAACACACAATAAGTAGTACTAAAAACTGAAGGTTGAAGCAGCTCTTCTTCTGTGTAGGCAACTCATTGACTCACTGTCATTTAGCTTCCTAGAATTCCCCATAGCAGTGACTCTCCCTGAAAGGAGTGGGGAGCCTAGAATGGGGGATTGGAGGTATGAAGTCAAGGAAAATAACCAAGGACTATTGGATAGTTTTGCTAACTTACATCCTCCAAGATGAGATTTTCGTTATTTCAACTCAGTGATTTTTTTTTTTTTTAACCAGTTTTTAGACTTAGACAATTCCCAAGGACTTAGATTTTTTCCTTTATTTTTCTAGTGAACTTTTTCTTGAAAACTTCTAGGAGCCAACAGAAGTGGTTTCTTTTGTGTCTTGTCCTATCCTCTCTCTCTGTTGGCATCTTTCTTTCACTGTAATTATAAATTCAGGTATTGCTACTTAAATATCTTACAAGCTTTGACTTTGTATGATTTTTTTCATTTTTTTTCTTAAATTGCATATTTTTCCTTTTATGCTTCTAATGGGACTCATTGAAGTCTAAGAGGTCAGTGTTAATATTTTGAACGAAACAAGTACTTTACATTTTAAAAAATCCAAACTGTATGAACAGTCTGCATTTTGAAGTACTTGAATTTTCATGAAGGTCTTATACTAGAGTGTGTGTGCCCCAGTGCATGCCCTTCTGAAAAAATTAAAAAGATAAAGTATGCATGCCAAAGAATTCCTAGTTGGAGAAGCTGTGAGATTCCTGAGATGTTAATTCTTTCCAGAATTGAAAGGACAATGTTTTGAAGCATTTATCTTCTTTGGTGTTTCAGGCTGACCACAGTGTAGAAGTTGGTACTGAAGAAGATGATGATGGGGAATTAGCACTATGGTCTCCTGAAGTCAAGATTGTTGAACTGGTAAAAGATCATAAAGGCTTGGGATTCAGCATCCTGGATTACCAGGTATAATAATCTATATTGAGTTTTTGGAGAGATTTGTTTTAAAGGTATGTGAAGTAGTAATTATTGAAGGCACCCACTAGGGAAAACAGAATGATTTGATATCTAATTCTACCACCCAGAGACAGGTGTTATAATTTACATTGTTACCTTTGCATTTGGTAGCTTTCCTAGTGAATAAACTGGGGGGGGGGGTGATACAGTAATTGAACAGGGAGGGAAGCAATAGTTTTATGCCCATGGACGCTTTTAGAGACTGGAGTTTGAAGAGTTTTTTTTTTTTTATGGAGGGATTGTCCCTCCCATTTTTATTGAGATATATTTCACATATCATAAAATTTGTAAAATTCATGCATGTCAAGCATGCTGTTTGGTTGTTTTTAGTATATTTGGAGTTGTGCAACCATCACCACAGTCTAATTTTAGAACCCTTTCATTACCCCAGAAAGAAACCCATCCACATTAGAGTAGTTCCCAACTCTTACTCTTCTCTCTCCCCTTCACACGAAGGTTTTTATTGTTTTGCTCATTGGTTGATCTCAATGAGCTTGATTAAGTAGAAATGTTCTTTATGAAATTATATATTTATATTTAACACAGACCACATACTATTTATGTATTTATGTGTACACCAATTATAGCTAATGTCACTAATGCATTTGGGGGGTTGTGTTTGAAAGATCACAATAGGACATCTGTATGTTGTATCAATTTACTGGTTTACAGTATTTTTAGACCTTCTGATTATTATGGGGAATTTAAAACTTGGCAAAAAACCTCTTCACTTTTAAGATGCATATTTTAATACTTTAGTGCTGCCTAAACACATTGTGGTTTAATAAAGCAAAATGTACTCTATCAAAGCACATAAAATGCCAAGTGGTATAAAAATCAATTTTTTAATATAATAAGGCATTCGGGAACAGATTAAAAGAAAAATACTTTGACCATTATGTAAGAACATTAAATTCCATATTTAGGTAGTATGATTTAAGATTACTGAAATAGATTGTTCATTTTTGCTGGCATATTTCTGTGCCAGATAACTCTGTGTTATTAGAACTTTTCTTTGGAAATTTTACTGAATTATGATTTGCTGATTGTAAATAATGCGTATTTGGGGATATACTTTTAAGAAGTACCAATCCTGTAAGATTCCAGAAGTTTCTATATTGATTAATATAAGGGCATATAGGGGGATGGGGTAACTGGGTGATGGACATTAAGGAGGTCACATGATGTAATGAGCACTGATTATTATATAAGACTAATGAATCACTGAGCTCTACCACTGAAACTATTTTAGAAAATTAAAAATTAAAAAAACTATTAAAAAATATAAGGGCATATAAAACAAGTTGTAGGTACCATCTCAATTTTTCTTCCCCAATGTACCCTTATTATCTACCACATGATAAATGATAAATAAGTATTTGCAGAATGATTGAATAAAGTTTAGGTCAGCTAAAATTAACTGGAAGTGAATGAACGCATTCAATGAGGTTTTTTTTTTTAACCATTTTGATTATAGGATTTAGTTTAGAAAACTCTTTTCATATGAAGTATTAGATATTCAGCTACATTTCCATTATGATTAGAATCTATCTATATTTGCATTCTTTTTTTCCCCTCCCCCTATCTATATTTGCATTCTTATATAATATAATGGTTGCTCTTACCCTCTTGAATGACATTATGTGCAAGTTTTATATTTTGAATATTTCCCGTGTTAAAGCAGTGAAGTGCTTTAGAAATAAAAACAAAAACAAACTTCAGTAAAGGAGAGAAAGAAAAAGTTGAGAGTCCTTAAGAGTTTAAATTAACCTCTAGTTAACAGAAGAATTCTTTTATCAGTTCTAAGCTTTATACTTAAAAAAAAAAAAAACAAACATAGTTCCAAATATAGAAAATTTTTTTCTTCATTGTACTCCTACAGGTATGCCTTGAGGCATACTTTGGTTTTTTAAAATTTTATTTTTTTATAAAATTCTAGGTTTCTCCCCCCTACTCGTATCTTCCTCATAATGATCATTATATATACTATTTCTACACAAATTATATAAAGTAATTTTGCCTTTGTGCTTCTCAGAGGACTGATAGAAAAATATTTGATTTCTGAAATGCTACTTTGATTCATATTAAAGCACTCAATTTATTTACTTCTATAGCTAAACCTTGGAAGAAGAAACATTCAATCTTAAACTGAATTTTTTTCTTTAGTCAGTCTTAAGTACATTTACTTATAATTGTATTCACATTTTCAGCATTTGTCAGTGGCATGTAGAACTGTTGAACACTGTGACATTTAGATGACACATAAACATAATTTAAAATTTGGTTTTGGGCAAGTTAATTAATTGGTTATATTGTCCCTTGTTGTAATTAGGTAATAAATTCTAAAGTTCAAAAAATTTTTTTTTGCAAGGGCAGGTGAAGGTTTAGCAAAAGTCGTGAAAGGCCATGTTCCTGGCTATTACTGTATTTGATGCATCCTGTATGAATTTATTAGGTAGCTGAAGAGGGCCAGTGCAGATCCACCCACATCCCCTTTCTCCCCCTTAGCACATTTAGAGTAAGAATACTCTAGAAACATTTTGGCCGCAGGGAGAAAGTTTTAGGAGAGTGGGAGAGCTTCCAGGTTGTAAAGGGCTGCATTAGCAGTATTGAAGAGACTGAAAATTTACTTAGCAATATTAATTTCTCACTAACTCATTTTTCTCTAGATTAGTAGAACTTCCTCAAGAACCTGACAAAATTACATACAGCATCTGTTTCATTGGTGCTTATGCAATTTCTTCATCTATAAAATGGGGATAATGTCTAGCTCAAAGGATTGTTTTGGATTAATTAAGTTAATGTGTAAAGAAATGGGAAATGTTTACATTACTATGGGTGTGTGAATATTGATAATCATCCAATTTAGAAAATAAACTACAGAAGTCTGGTTATTGTCCTTGAAGTTATAGCCATACTACAATATATTTGAACACTTAATTCTCAGCTATCCGGTTAGATCCAGAAAATTAGTAAGTAGATACTTTTGCTTAGTGACATCTAAATTTAATTGTAAAATTACATTCTAAAATGGAGCCAACTCCTGATAAACCATAGGTGAATTATGCAGTTTTGGATTATGGGCCGGCAGTTTGCTTTTCACATAAATTGAACTGAACCTTAGGGAAAGATGAGCGAGCAGATAAAGGATCTTGAATTGGCCATGGAACTGTGGAGTGGCGAGACAGGCGAAAGTCTGAAAATTCAAAGAGCAAAGAGCAAACTGAAAATTCCTTTTCATGAAAGGCATTTAAAATAGATTGGGGCAAAGGAAAAGGAGAAAGCAGCAGGGAATCATATTTACTATAACCTAGTAAACTATGGTTTACGCAGTTTTTGTGTTACAGTAAATATGATTCAGATGGTAAGCCACCTCATTAGATTTTAGGATAAGGTGATCATCACATTATTGGCTCTGATTTGAATGAAGATAGAATATTTATTAGTCACAAATATTTCTACGTACTGCTCCATGTAGTGGCTCGTTAATATCCTGCCCTATATGTGTGCTGTATTAGAAGGCTTATTGGGGGCACTTGGGTGGCTCAGTGGGTTAAAACCTCTGCCTTCAGCTCAGGTCATGATCCCAGGGTCCTGGGATCACATCGGGCTCTCTGCTCATTGGGGAGCCTGCTTCCCCCAACCCCTCTCTGCCTGCCTCTCTGTCCACTTGTGATCTCTGTCTGTCAAATAAATAAATAAATCTTTAAAAAAAATATGTAGAAGGCTCATTGGTCACTATAATGTCATACCTTACAGGACAGTGTTATGGAAAACAGCGATGTGCATAATTTATCAAGAACATGATTATTATGGCTTAACTAGGTAATCTGTTTCTAAGCAATACATGACTTCAGAAATTTGGTTATAACTTTTTATAGTATAATTTCTTGCCAATTTCTAGGTATGGTTTTCATATTGTGCTTTAGTTCTTGTTGTCTTGATTATGTGTAAATGTCTTTATTCCATGGAATATTACTAATACTAATCCTAATATTAACACTAAAACTTACAAATTCAATACTAATAGCATAATAACATTTATTGAGTGTTTACAGTTTGCTGGCCACTGTTCTGATTATTTTATGTATCCTTCACAAGAAGCCTGTGGAGCAGGTACTATTATTATTATCCTCATTTTTGAGGTGAGGAACGTGAAACACAGAGATGTTATGTAACTAGTCCAAGTTCACACAGCTAGTATCTGGCAGAACTACAATTTGAAATCAAGCAGTCAGCTCCCAGAATCTGTGCTTTTTTTTTTTTTTTTTTTTTTTTTTAAAGATTTTGTTTATTTATTTGTCAGAGAGGGAGAGAGAGCAAGCACAGGCAGACAGAGTGGCAGGCAGAGGCAGAGGGAGAAGCAGGCTCCCTGATGAGCAAGGAGCCCGATGCGGGACTCGATCCCAGGACGCTGGGATCATGACCTGAGCCAAAGGCAGCTGCTTAACCAACTGAGCCACCCAGGCGTCCCCAGAATCTGTGCTTTTAACTACCATATTATGTTGCTCCTTTCCTCATGAGTGCATTTTATTACAGAAGATTTTTGTACTAAATTTATTACAGCAGATCTTCCTGTTTTTCCAGCTTGTAAAAAAAATTCCGTATCTTAAGCACAAGCTGCTAGATAGTTTTCTCATTTTTAATGCTTATGTGAAAGTTTAGTAAATATTAAAAATTAACATAGTATGTTCAGATGCATTGTGTAAGAGCTAGTGTTTATTTATTGCTTCAAATGAAAATAATTACAAATTTAAGAATCCTAAATTAATGCAACTAATTTGTTGTGGGCTAGTGTTCAATAATGAAGCAATTATTAGGTAGTGTGAGTCTTTGATTTTTAATTTAAACCAAAAAGCTTAAAATAAATTTAGAATTGTCTGGATTTCACCTTGGGTTGACCTTATATATTAAACATAGCAAGTGGATATTTTCTGGTGTTTTGATTT